TTCATGAGGCCCCATTTCATAAAGGTACTTAAGAACAGCAAAGAGGCAGAAAAATATTAATATTCTGTGGTTGTATGAAAAGCCAGCCACTCACTTTCCCAAGCTCCCTTACAGCTAAAGCCTACACCTGTGACCTCGGCTTGGCTACGGAGCTGCAACCACCTGAGACTAACCGGGGGGATTAGGGTACATAGAAGCAGGAACAGCAAAGAATCTCTTTGAATGTGGTCTTGGCATCAGAGGCCCTGCAGTAGACTAGAGTCTACGTGGCAGCTATGCAAGCTGTGGTGCCTAATATTCAACAAAGGTAGAGATGCTGCTCTCGCCAGACATGGTGTGATTCTGCACATGACTCTAGATACCCTTCCTCTGAGCTTGGCTCTCCAGACATCTTTGTGATTCTTTGAGCAACCCAATTTCTTTTCAATAAATTACTTTTCTGCCTAAAGTAGACAGGCTCTGTCTGTTGATTAATAGAGCTAAATTGCAGAATTGACTAAGTAGAGGAGGAGAGTAGAAGACAGTTAGGACCTATATAAAGGTAACACTGAGGGTGACACTGCACAAAGAAAGAACCAGAGTCCTTGATGACAACACTGTTGTGTTGCTGAATCAACCAACCCCAGAGCTTGTCCTTCCTCTGAATCTCCTTTTTATGTGAGATAATAAGTTTCATTATGGTTTAAGCCAGTTTGAATCAGGTTTTTCATTGCTTGCAGCAGAAAGAATCTAGACAGAGATAGTGCTTCATAATCACCATAGTTATTACTATCTACCCACCTATTAGTGGTATTGGGAGAACTGGATCAGTTATTCTAAGCAGAGGGACTTGCTTAGGGCCTGGTAAGTAGTGATCCTTCACAAACATTAATTTCTTTCTAATTTTACCTGTAGTTGTCGGATACTGATGCGCAAGTCTGATTCATTAAATCCATATGGAATATTCCAACCAAGAGGACCAAATTTCTTTCTCTCTTGCACAAGGGCATGAAAAAAGCAAACTCCAAACAGCAACTTCTCCCATGCCTATGGAAATTATACAAGAAAAAATTCTGATCAGATTTCTATCAGTAAAATGAAGGGAATGGTTTTTTTCCATTACAAGATTCTCTGAGCATCTATCCCTACAAACTTCTATTTTAAAATGATGCTATCTAAAATAATACTTAACTGTAAAAAGTATTCATCTTACGACTTAATTCAAACCTCCAAAGCTAGATAAACCACAATAATATTAAACTTTATTAAAATGCAAAAATGTTACCATTTTACCAAACTATTGGCTAATAATACTTTGGTATTACTCACAGATATTTACAACTTCAATATTTGAATGTTATTCTGCAGACTTGCTGGCATGTATGTGACACTACAAGTGCAGAGGAATGATTAATCATTATGATATGAATAAATCACAATACATAATCCTTTGTGACTTTCTATCTGGAAATTGTTTTTTTTTGGAGACAAGAGTCTCACTCTGTCACCCAGGCTAGAGTGTAGTGGCATCATAATAGCCCACTGCAACCTCAAGTTCCTGGGCTCAAGCAATCCTGCCTCAACCTCCTGAATAGCTGGGACTACATGTGTGTGCCACCACACCTAGCTAAATTTTCCCATTTTTTGTAGAGACAGGGTCTTGCTCTTGCTCAGCTGGTCTCGAACTCCTGAGCTCAAGCGATCCTCCTGCCTCGGCCTCCCAAAGTGCTAGGATTACACGCATGAGTCATCACACCCAGCAGTTAAATAATTTTTGAAACTACTGTTTATTTGATCTGTGTGTGGCATATTTGTGTGTGTGATATGTATGTCACATTGGCCTCTCACTAAACTGTGTCAATGCTGTAGAGAATGGTCACCCATTTTTAAAAGTCCTCTCAAGTAAATTTCAAGTATGATACATGGCATGTATTTTAAGTTAGACCATTTCAAACATAGCTTCAAATCCAGTGAAAATCTAGCCAGCTATTTTTATGTGATGCAGTAGTAGAAACTATTTTTTCAATATTAAAATACAAGCACACTATGGTTTATTGAATAGATATATTCTTGAAATGTTGTAAATAAATCAAAGCATATTTTAAATATCTAGATGAATGCTGTGATGAAATATATAATAGGGGAAGAACCTTTTGGTAATGAGAACAATTACTTAATTTATATCTGCAGGGATTTTACTTCTGTTCTGATTTGGATGCCTTTTGCTTCTTTTTCTTGCCTAATTGTTCCAGCTAAGACTTCCCATCTATGCTGAATAGAAGGGAAAGGAGTGGCCATCCTTGCCTTGTTCATGATCACAGAGGACAAGCTTTCAGTTTTTCACTGTTTAGTATATTAGCTGTGGGCTTTTCACATTGGCTTTCATTATGTTGATATAATTTTGCTCTATTCCTAGTTTGTTGACAGTTTTTATTATGAATGTATGTTTTGAATTTTGTCATAGGCTTTTTCTGCATCTATTGAGATAATCATGTAATTTTTATCCTTCCTTCTGTTAATGTGTATCACATTAATTGATTTTTATAAGTTGAATCATCTTTGCATCCCAGGGGTAAATCCCACTTGGTCATGGTGTATCATGTGCTGTATTTATACCAGTTCTTGAGCCCCCACTTCAAATTTATTGA